CTCTGCTAAAATTCATCAAATTATACCCCCCTTTGATTCTTCGCATGCAACATCTGTATCACTCTAACACGAAAAACTCAAACTACTGCACTCACCTCTTCTTCGGCGCAGGAACGACGGTGCTCGATGCCATCAAATCCACCGTCGACCACGACACCGAGATTGTCTACTCTGAAAATCCAGATTCAGATTATCTCAACAGCAATGAATTCTCATACGCCATTATCGCTGTTGGCGAGCTTCCTTACGCAGAGTCCGCCGGCGACAACATGAACCTCACCATCCCAGCTCCTGGACCAAGTATAATACAGAACGTGTGCAGAAGAATCAAATGTGCGGTGCTTCTTATATCCGGAAGGCCTCTTGTGATCGAACCCTACGTCGAAACGATCGATGCGCTCGTGGCCGCGTGGTTGCCGGGAACGGAAGGGCGGGGTGTCGCCGATGTGTTGTTTGGAGACTTTGGGTTCTCCGGCGTGCTCTCGAGGACATGGTTTAGGTCTCTTGATCAGTTGCCGATGAATGTTGGTGATCCGCATTATGACCCTCTGTATCCTTTTGGTTTTGGGCTCAAGACAGAACCGGTTAAGACTTAATAATTGTTTTGAGGGAGAAGATGAGTTTTTAGTTGAGTTTAGGGTTTAATTTGAATAATGGTGAGAGGGAAGATTGTTTGTTTGGGTGTTTGTTGAGTTTAGGGTTTAATTTGAATAATGGTGAGAGGAAAGATTGTTTGTTTGGGTGGGTGTTTGGGTCAGCTGTAACTTATTGAATAATCTGCTGATAAGTTAGGTGTGGTAGTTATTAGAAATTTTTATTTTTTCAGAAATTCAGACCATGCCTTGGTGATTTTAACCCTTCAATTCAGCCAACTATGAGAGATATTGTGCTAAGATATACGAACAAAGCCAATGCTATTTCCTCCAATGCCTCCAACCCTTTGGTTTCTTATGATAAAAATGCCCTCATAAGGTGCCCTCTGTCATTGTCTCCAAAACAAAAATGAAATGAGGAACAAAATTTTAAAATGCAAATTTCCTCAAATATAAAATGCCAAAAGAATACTCAATACATAGATGTGTGTGTGTGAGCAAAGCTTCACATTTTGCAATAAATTTGATTGTGGAAACTAAATTCAACTCAGGTAAATTCAAAAAAGGGTCAATGATATATCATAAAAAAAGCTAATAAGATCAAACATCAAACTACAACCCTAGCAGTAAAAGATCAAAGCTAATAATATTAGAGATCAAAGTAACTGTCTGACCGAGTTAAGTTGTTTGAGCCAAATGTCACCTTCCAAAAAAGTTCTTAGAGATGGTGGTCAGCCTAGGACTTAAATACTATTTTTCGGTCTTACGTCTAGCTGATGTGGAATTTTTTGTCCGTGACACAAAGCTAATAAGATCAAAGATGTCAAGAGGATACAAGAACAAATTATTCTAACATAAACGAGATAAACAAATAGCTGAGTCAATCATCAGAGGAGAGTCAATCCAAGTAAGATTGCCAACCATCTCAAAGACACCTAGTATTAGAGGTTAAGGATAACGATCAAGCAATAATAACCGACCAACCCATATCGAGTAACTCAGATGGTAGAGCTGATCTTGCCAACCTAAAACCAATTAAGCTTAACCATCCGACCCAAAGAGCTCTCAGATGATAAGCTCATATATATAAAATATCAGAAATTTCAAGTACAAATCCCTTTAAAACATGGGTAAAAATATAATATCATCATTATATCATCTTATCATTGTTTATATTGTATAATAAAAATAAACAGGGGAATCATTTTATTAATAAGACACGATTAATTATAACATATTAGCGTTCGTCATGTCTCTCTCCCCCTTTCTCTATATCTATCATTATTTATGCTATATTTCTTAATTGTTATTCACAGACAAATCAGGATTCAAAAATATACATATAATGTTCAAATCCTTAAACATCACTTTTAAATTATCACTAATATTATAATTTTTAAAGCAAAATAAAATTTTGGGTGCATAAAACTTGTGATTATGATACTAAAATATTATGTATGTAAACATTAAATATTAGATGTAAAATATAAAGGTATTTAAAATAATGTGATTTATTAGTAAATTTCTCATTAATTTACTTAGCAAGCAAAATTAATAAAAACATCATGACTTAAAAGATGGGCATTTACCTACACCCCCTAAATTCCTATGTTTTTAAATAGCACTTAAACTTAGCTTTTTACTTTTCCACTTCTCAAATCTTTCCTACTACATAAAAAATAATATCACTGTTTCAAAAAATAAATATAAATGTCAGGTATGTAAATACATAAAAAATTGAGGAGTCCATAGCTAAATCCTCCTAAAAATTTAAATTTTAAGGTGGGACTCCCCTGCTGATTCCGCCTCTGGAACTGCCCACAACGGCTAAATTCAGACAAACGGCTATAAACAAGATTCCAAGGTACTTTGTCGTCAAGTACTCCTGAATTCAAAATTTTATTTAAATAAAATATTTTTCTGTTAAATTTAAATAAAAGTTACAAAACCATTTAATGATGTCAAATTAATAGAAAAGCAGTAGATAAAATACATAAAATAAAATAAAAAATTATAGGAAACAAATCTTTAATTATAATGATCTTGCAGTGGAATTATGTGATATACTATTTAGCAAAAGTTCTGCTGATAAGTGTCAGAGATTTAATTAATTAAATTATAGTTGGTGCTCTATAATGGCCTGAGGGAGGGATTGATAAAACTAAGGATTTACTAAGAGCTTTAAGGATATATGCAAAACATATGTTAAACACGAGCTTTAGTAATTTTTATTTAAGAAAAAAAGAAAAATGTAAGTTTTTTTTTTAATTTATCATTGAACACGAGCTTTAGTAATTTTTATTTAAGAAAAAAAAGAAAAATGTAAGTTTTTTTTTTAAAATTTATCATTAGAGAATTAACATTAAATTTAAATGAATAAAATTTTAAATTAAATTTAAGATGATTTGAATTATAATTTTAGTAATTTTATAGTTAAATTGAATGACTGAATAAGATAAATCCAATGATTCTAAAAATGACTCGATCCGAGTCCTACAAACCCAAATTAACCACTTAAAGTGAAAGCCGGCATAATTCCTATGTATTTACATATCTAGCACCTAATGTGTGGTAATTGCATTTATGACATTTTAGTAGCATAATGAAATGGATTTTTTTTTTTTTAAATTTACATATAGACCACCCAATTCTAACGTGTTTACATTTCTAACACTCAAACTTTAATTTTTACATATATTCCAACTTACTAATTATGCATAAAAAAAAGTGTATTACACCATTAAAATATGTAATAATAATATATTAAATGTGACATGAAAGGTTTGAATGACATGAATGTAAAAATTGAAACTTACATGTTAGATATGCGAATGCATAAGAATTGTGGTATGTATGTAAATACTCCTTTTTTATATTTAATATAACAAAATTTTAGAATTTAAAAGAAAGATAATATGAGCTAAATATGCTCCTAAGCCCTCTTCGCCTAGTTGACAAGGATGCTATCTTGTACTGAACTAGCCTAGTGTTAGAGGATTGGAAAAAATATTACCTCAGGCTGATGCGTCATTACTCCAATGGTGCGGTGTCACGTATACAATAGTCCCACCATAATACCACGTGAAACCTCCCTATTGGAGTACTGATGCATCAATACTTCTGATGTAATATTTTTTCAGAGGATTGACAGCAATGAAGGTGGAAAAAGTATAATGAGGTATTCTAAAATAACTCTATTTCTTAATTAAGTAAAAAAAAAAAAAGCAAATTTAGCTTTCCTAGCTTAAAAAAATTAGTGTGTTATATGTGTAAATTTTCCTAATCTTTGCTACGATCTTCATATACATTTCAATAAGAAAAATGTGCTCCAAGCTTATGTTTTTATTCCTTTCATATGTATATTTTTTACCTTAATAGGATTGCATGAAAATTTCATATGTATATAAATATGAAAGCTTTAAATAACAAATATTCTAATAGATTCATATGAAAAATTTCAAACTCATAATCTTAAATGAAAATGTGAATAAATTTATATTTTACTTTATATACAAAAATAAATGTCATTTGAAAAAGAAAATTGAATTCGAATAGACTATAATAATGTTGATCTTCAAATTTTATTGACACCCTCTTGAATTTTAAAGTTTTTAATTAAAATTAATATATTCATGACAAGGTACATTTAAAAACAAAATTACTTTATAAATTTAACAATTTAATTTTTCCTTTTACATCACATTTATTTTTTAATTAATGGGCACATTTTAAAGGACATATGAATTAAATGTGTCTTGTAGCGAGTTATCAGCAAATAAATGTTTGAACGACCAATAAATATGCCTATTAATACTTGCCCTCAGCCAACGTCATATGCCAAATCACTCGATCTCGCAGCGCAGGTAGATGCACTCAGGCGGGCTCAAACCCATGACACAAATAGACTCAAGATTGAAAACTCATGTGCCAACTAAAGAGTCACAGGGAGCGACACAAGATACATAAATATATATGTGTGTGTGTGTGATAAAGTTTTTATTTTATTTTTCTATCTTATTCGATTAGTAAAACAAATAAAAAAAAAATTAAAGTATATTTAAATTCAGAAAAGAGATCAAATAATCATATTTTAAAAAAAGAGAAATTTACATACATATCTTCAATTTTTAAGTATTTATATCTCTAAAATTTAAATTTTATTATTTATGATCATCTCACTTTGGTTAAGCTTATAAATTAAAAAGTTTATTATTTTTTAAAAATGAGTAATTATGATATTTTAAATGTAATGTTAACATTTCTAAAAGTTTAGTAAATATATAAAAAAATATATTTTTTTATGAATTTTATATTTCATTTTATTTAATTGATTAAGAAAAAAGGGAAAATCTTTGCTGCTTTTATATGCTGCGTTCCACTTCACCTTCTCCACCAAATGCGCCGTGTTCTCCTCCATTTCTCAGGAGAAGCTCTGAGCTTTCCAGGAGCTAAAAACCCTAGACATTGGGCAAGAGGAACAGAGTTCTATCTTTTTCTCCTTCTTCTGCTTCTTCCCTAACGTGAGTCTTCCTCCACTCATCTACCGTTGCTTCTGTTATGCTTTACTCTAATGTTTGGAGTGAAGGATTTCTTATTCTTAACTGAAAGCCTTTTGAAACCATGAGCAGATGATTTCGGTTCTCCAATGCGTGTTTTTTTCTTGGTTATAGAAGCATGGTTACATGCTTTTCAGCAGTTCCCCTGTTTTTTCCTGCCATTTTAGTCATTTATGTGCTTTATATTTTTAAGATATTTAGCTAATTAATGATTTTCTATCTTAATTAAAACTAAAACATCAGTTAGTGCCATTTTCTTGTACAATATGAGTTAATTTATTATATTTCTTAATTTCTAATTAAGAATTTAAAATTCCATAAATTTAGCAGAAAAAAATTAATCAGATATTAAAGAATGAATTAAAAAAAAATTAAAGTATATTTAAATTCAGAAAAGAGATCAAATAATCATATTTTAAAAAAAGAGAAATTTACATACATATCTTCAATTTTTAAGTATTTATATCTCTAAAATTTAAATTTTATTATTTATGATCATCTCACTTTGGTTAAGCTTATAAATTAAAAAGTTTATTATTTTTTAAAAATGAGTAATTATGATATTTTAAATGTAATGTTAACATTTCTAAAAGTTTAGTAAATATATAAAAAAATATATTTTTTTATGAATTTTATATTTCATTTTATTTAATTGATTAAGAAAAAAGGGAAAATCTTTGCTGCTTTTATATGCTGCGTTCCACTTCACCTTCTCCACCAAATGCGCCGTGTTCTCCTCCATTTCTCAGGAGAAGCTCTGAGCTTTCCAGGAGCTAAAAACCCTAGACATTGGGCAAGAGGAACAGAGTTCTATCTTTTTCTCCTTCTTCTGCTTCTTCCCTAACGTGAGTCTTCCTCCACTCATCTACCGTTGCTTCTGTTATGCTTTACTCTAATGTTTGGAGTGAAGGATTTCTTATTCTTAACTGAAAGCCTTTTGAAACCATGAGCAGATGATTTCGGTTCTCCAATGCGTGCTTTTTTCTTGGTTTTAGAAGCATGGTTACATGCTTTTCAGCGGTTCCCCTGTTTTTTCTTGCCATTTTAGTCATTTGTTTGGTTGTTCTTCGAACAAACTTCAGCGGATTCTATGATCCTTTGGTCTTTCAGTGGAGTTCTACAGTTCTTCTCCATTTTAGCATATTCTTCACATCAAGTACTTGAATCTATTTCTCTCTCTCTCTCTCTCTGTCCTCTTTAAACATCTTTAAAGGGGAGTTCTCACCTTTTCCGTAAGTTTGTTTAGTGAAATAACTTTTACTTTTAAGAGATTTTTTGAGCCGTCCATTTTATGTGCTGCAGCTGCTGTTGAAGCATGATGGCGAAAATTTTTGGCTTTAACTTTAAACTTACATCTAAACAAAAAGAGATTAGGATGGATTTGCAATTTTGATTGCAACCATATTTAAAAAATCCAAGAGCTTTGAAATTTATCCTACGCTAAATTTTGGTGAGTAGTTTTAAGCTGATGCTTCCAATCATTAGGCTAAGGTATGCTGCCTTATATTAGGATACTTTGATAAAAATTATAAGGCAGAGATTTGTTCGAAAGTAAAAGATTTTGAACATAAAGTAAGGCATTTAAACAAAATTTCTTTTTTTGTTTTTCCCTAAAGGCCTAATGTAGACATCATTCGGTTTGTACCAAATGTTTTCTTATCATGAACAGCAGCCTTTCAATTCTTAATTTCTTACAAGTTTCATATCAATATATGTTCAAAAGTTCTTTTTTTTTACTTTCCAATTTCTTAAAACAGCACATATAAGTGGTAGGATCATTTGCTTGGGTGCTATCTAACTAAATTGGTCAAGATCTTGAAATTTGTCAAATTTGTGTTTTAGCCCTCCATTTATAAATTTCATATCCAGATATTCTTACAAGTATTTTTTCTTCCAATTTTTAAAATAGCAGATAGAATTGGTTTGGATCATTTGCCTGGTTGCCATCCAACTTAGTAAATAAAGATCTTGAAAGCTGTTAAATTTGTGGTTGACCTTCGATTTTACCCTTCTTTTTGCATTTTAAATATGTCATCACTTTTATTGATGTAATTTTCTCGACTGCCTTCCTCTCATATTACACAAAATCTTTGACCACCATTGTTCTTCTTCTCCTCCACAGACTGATGAATGCACATGTTTTTTTTTTAATTTATCAGATCACCATTGCATTGTTTTCCTTAATGGAATGGATTCCCTTCCTTTCTAACATGAATAAATCATTTTTCCCAGTTTTACAGGGTGATCTGATAAGGTTGTAATAGCGAGGATGACGGGTTTTGATGCTTGCTTGATGTTCATTCTACTTTTATCTTGCTCGGCTTCAATTGGAGATGCTGAGTATCTGAAATACAAAGATCCGAAGCAACCTATCGGGATTAGAATTAAGGATTTGCTGAAGCGGATGACCCTTGCAGAGAAGATCGGCCAGATGACGCAGATCGAACGGAAGGTTGCATCGGCACAAGTCATGAAAGAATATTTCATTGGTAAAATATACATTTTTTTTTATGAGATATCTACATAACACCTAGCATGCAATTCTTATGTATTTACATATCTCACACCTAAACTTTTATATTTACACACGTACATGCATGAAAATGTGAATTTCACTTTTAAAAAGTGATAATAATGATATTTTTTATCTCATATTAAAGATTGAGTCGGTGTATAAATGTGGAAGTTTAGGCAGGTATGAAATATGTAAGTACATAAGAATTGTTGTCTACATATGTAAAAGTCCCCCATTTTTTTTCAAATGCAGGCTCCTTATTTTCTTTATTCTGAGAATTATGATAGCCGAGCTAAATTTTTCTTCAGGTAGCGTATTAAGTGGCGGGGGGAGTGTGCCTGCTCCCCAGGCATCGGCAGAGGCTTGGGTGAATATGGTAAATGATTTTCAGAAGGGTGCTTTGTCAACACGTCTTGGAATTCCAATGTTATATGGAATTGATGCAATTCATGGCCATAACAATGTTTACAACGCAACTATATTTCCTCACAATATTGCCCTTGGTGCTACTAGGCAAGTGATCTTAAGCTTTCTGTTAAATTATTTTTCAACCTCATTCTGTAATTTAAGAGTTAATTGTCTGAAGAAGGTTTTGATGGGTATATCTCAAATTATCTCTCTAAGAAATTGAGCAGATGATTTTTTTTATTGTTTTAATCTTGAAAAAAGCGTACTGCTAAATAATTTTTAAGTTGAGGATTGATGCCTTTACTAGAAATTTATATGATAGCTTGATGAATGAAACCATGAACACCCTTTAAGTTTAAAACCTATAATCTAACCGACATGAGCCGAGAAAATCTGTTGTTGAAAGTCCTGTACTTATTAATTGTAGCATATATTGAGGGGGCACAAAGTCAGACTGAAGTCATCATTAAGATGAGATATATAAATATTATCATAATTTTGTTATGATTTTATGCTATTATAGGGATCCTGAACTTGTGAAGCGGATTGGTGCAGCAACTGCTCTTGAAGTGAGGGCTACAGGCATTCCTTACACATTTGCTCCATGCATTGCAGTAAGCAATGTTTCAACTACAATATTGCAAGTTTACCTTTTGTCTGTTATATTATTGCCAGGAAGTAATTAGTTTTCTTTGCGTTTTTTAGATTATTCCTAGGAAGTTGGTTAAGTAATTACACTCATCCTCTCTGCTTCAGGTTTGTAGAGATCCTAGATGGGGTAGGTGTTTTGAAAGCTATAGTGAAGACCACAAAATTGTCCAAGCAATGACTGAGATAATAACTGGTCTACAAGGAGATGTCCCTGCAAACTATAGAAAGGGCACTCCCTATGTTTCTAAAAAGTAAGATCTAAATTCCAAATATCAAGATTAAAATTCTAAAGCAGTCCCATTGCCACCCGAGCTATTATTTTTAGTTGATATTAATTAGTCAATTTCCCTTTCGTTTCAAGTCCTTCAAATGATTAATGAACCTTTCATTGCTACTATATCTTTTATTTTTATTAATTGAGTTAGGCTTTGCACTGTTGCACAACTTATTTTACCTGACAAAATAAATAAATCATATGATACAATTGATTAATCAGTGACAAGGTTGCGGCCTGCGCCAAGCACTTTGTTGGCGATGGTGGGACTCAAAAGGGTATTAATGAGAACAATACCCTCATCAATCGCCCGGGATTATTAAGTATCCACATGCCCGCATACTATAGCTCGATCGTCAGAGGTGTTTCGACAATCATGGTGTCGTACTCTAGCTGGAATGGGGTTAAAATGCATGCTAATCATGATATGATCACCGGCTTCCTTAAGAACACACTGCATTTTAAGGTAGCAATATATAATTTTTTTTTTGATGGGAATGAATTTATTTGTTATTTTACTTATCGGTCCTTGTACTTTTAAAAAGGGGTTAAAATGCATGCTAATCATGATATGATCACCAGCTTCCTCAAGAACACACTGCATTTTAAGGTAGCAATATATAAGTTTTTTTTTTAATGGGAATGAATTCATTTGTTATTTTACTTATCTGCCCTTATACTTTTAAAATATTTCAGGGTTTTGTTATCTCAGATTGGCAAGGCATTGATAGGATAACTAGTCCTCCTGGTGCAAACTACACTTACTCTGTCCAAGCTGGAGTCAATGCTGGTATTGACATGGTCGGTTTCTTTTCTACTTGTAACATAATACTGTTTTCCCCTTTTGGGGCATTTACTTGCAAACCATGTAATTTTCATAGCTGGAGTCAATGCTGGTATTGACATGGTCGGTTTTCCTTTCTACTTGTAACATAATACTGTTTTCCGCTTTTGGGGCATTTACTTGCAAAACATGTAATTTTCACGTATCTACATATTGCTCAAATCTTTAATATTCCATCAAAAATACTACTTTTACTAACTTATTTTGATACATGGTTTATGGACATCCAAGTGTTATAAACGTAAATCTTAAACTTAAAAAGTGTTAGATATGTAAATACATCAGAATTATGTGGCATGCATGTAAATTCTCAGATGAGATTGATCATACTCATTGTATTTATTTATGTTTTGCAGGTGATGATTCCTTTTGACTACGCGCCATTCATCAGCGATCTAACTGCTCTTGTCAACAGCGAAGTTGTGTCAATGAGCAGAATAGATGATGCTGTCAAAAGAATTCTACGTGTGAAATTCTCCATGGGTCTCTTTGAGAAACCTTTGGCTGATCTTAGCTTGGTTGATCAACTTGGAAAAAAAGTAAATTTTCTCTAGTCTCCAATATCAAGTCTTTGCTTTAGCTTGATTTGTAATTTTAATTTGCCAATTTGTTTGGTTTTAGAAGCCAATTTTCCCCCTTGTTCTGCCATTCAACAGGAACACAGAGAGTTGGCCAGAGAAGCTGTTAGGAAATCACTAGTGCTGCTGAAGAATGGGAAATCTGCTACGGGACAGCTGCTGCTACCCCTCCCTAAGAAAGCTCACAATATCTTAGTTGCGGGCAGCCATGCTGATAATTTGGGTTACCAGTGTGGTGGGTGGACGATCGAGTGGCAAGGAGCCAGTGGAAGAATTACTACTGGTTAGCTTTCAGCATCACCTCGCCTTTTTTGTTCTTTATTCATGTGAATTCTTTCATACCTACATGCATAAATACATAGTCTGCACAGTGTGACTACATTCAATTAGAATGTTCTGATTACACAAGGATGCTCATTGCAAGGTCATTCCATGGTTTTCCCCAGGAACCACGATTCTCGAAGCCATTAAATCAACCGTTGATCCTTCTACTGAAGTAACCTACTCAGAGAATCCAGACACCAGCTTTCTGGAAAACAACAATTTCTCCTACGCCATCGTCGTCGTCGGAGAACCACCATACAGCGAGACTGCCGGAGACAGCCTCAACCTGACAATCTCAGAACCCGGCCCAAGCACCGTCCAGACTGTATGTAGAACCATTAAGTGCGTTGTTGTCGTCATCTCCGGCCGGCCCGTCGTGATAGAGCCGTATATTGGATTGATCGATTCCCTCATCGCTGCCTGGTTACCGGGGTCAGAAGGCCAGGGTGTGGCTGATGTTCTGTTTGGGGACTTTGGATTCACAGGTAAGCTTCCAAGGACTTGGTTCAGGTCTGTGGATCAGCTTCCAATGAATGTTGGGGATATGCACTATGATCCATTGTTTCCCTTTGGATTTGGTTTGACAACTGAGCCTATAAGGAAATAAAGCTGAAAAAAATTTATTTTGTTTTGAAGGTTGTAAAATTTTTCTAAGAAGTATGTTTGTTTTATTTAATCAGCTTTTTGGTAATTATGTAATTTTTATGTTTCTTTTGGAAGCACTTTTTTGGAAGTCTGCAAAAGCTTATTTAGAGCTTTGTGGTATCCCGGATTATTTGATTAAAATTACAAGTTATTTGGATACAACTGGGAGAGAATTATTTTGCATTTAAATGACGTTTATTAAAAATGAAAGTCACTTGACAAAATTGTGAGATAATTAGTGAACCACATAATTTTTGTATTTTACATATCTAACACTTAAATTTTAGGGCATGCATGCGTAACACTCAAAGTAAACTACTAATTATACAAAAATGCGAAAACTAAAGCATGTAGCATATTGATTAGAAATACAAAAATATGTACATTTGATTAAAAATGATTTAAGATATTTTGGAACCAAGTTGCATAGTCAAAGAAGAAGCATGGAATGTATAAAGCAGGGTTGGTGCACAGATACCAATCCATTAAGTGTTCATCACATTTGCATCCCCACAAAAATAAGGGGGAATCGTGATTGAAGATCTTAGTCAGCTCTTTGTTCCATTCTTCGTCGCAGTTGTTCCTCACCAGCAGTCCAATACAGTAGAATTGCCGATGCGCGGGGGGTGTTCGATAAATCAGAGGTTATTAGAGTGAGGGATTCCTACGGCGGAGGATGCGGAATGCATTGGCGGAGCTGTTCCCAGGGGATTGGGGTTCTTCAGAGGGAGGGAATCCGAAGTCAATGGAGGAGGATGAGGAATCCATAACTAGGGTTGGGGTTTTTCTGATGCAAGGATTTTCTAACCTGCCGTGGCGTAAAAAATATTGAGTGCTGACACCCCACCCAAATCCGGAGCGTCCAAAATTTAAAGTGGACCTCACTTAAAAAATAATAATAATAACAAGATGTATTTTAGTGTTCTAGATCAGACACCTCACACAAATTTACGTGCGGTGTCCGTACACAATAAGTGCTCCGGCGGTGCAGGCTTACATAGAGTGACAATAGCGTAACGGGCCGTTGTGGCGCAATCTACATTAAGTCTTATCACAAAAGGATAGAAAAATAACTCAAATTTATGTATGTTGTAATTTGGGCAATTGACTTAGGACACATAAGACTTGTTTGTGACTTGTGAGATTATATGCGGAAATGAGATAGAAAATAGAGTGCAAATATGAAAGCTGCTTGAAAGTTACAATATCCAAGACATATTTTTAAAAATATTAAGGAATGATTAGTATATCATATATTATAAATTTGATCCGCCATGTTCATAATTTCAACCAAAGGATAATAATTATTGGCCATAAGCTTTATATGAATTTTTCCATCTTCATCATGATTTAAAGGTATTTTTGAATTTCTCTTGAGAGGAGACTCATGGTGTGGTTGTGGTTGTGATTATGGTTAGCCCTTAAACCCATTAGAACCACATTATTTGTTTCAAATTGCAAAAATCGTAATGTTCATTGCTTCTATAAGAATATTAATAGTTTTTGAAGTTGTTTTAGAGCACCTTTGAAACTAGAAGATTGTGTAAGACGAGCTTGTGATCTAATTTATTTCTAAACAATGTCAAGGTTTAGTTCATATCAATGAATCTTAATGGCCCAGAAGATTTTTAGTGTACACAATATCTTTGGATTTGTAAGACATGTATCTTGCTTTTGTGAGAGTGATTATTATTATTTTTTTGTTTTCTCCAAAGTTTAATGGCCTTTTCTGAGACCTTCAAATCGATTCTTGAGGTCAGTCATTATTTTACAAAACATCTCTATTGAATGGAATTTGAGATGAATATTTCATGCGATGTAACACAAGAATTGAATAATGAAAATAAAGCAGATGATCAAACGCAGCATGCGTTATAAAATTTAGATGGAAGATCTTTTCTGAGACCTTCAAATCGATTCTTGAGGTCAGTCATTATTTTACAAAACATCTCTATTGAATGGAATTTGAGATGAATATTTCATGCGATGTAACACAAGAATTGAATAATGAAAATAAAGCAGATAATCAAACGCAGCATGCATTGTAAAATTTATTACAAACAAACATACGCTCAATTCTTATGCAGTTACTTATCTGACATTCCAACTTTAATTTTTACGTACATGCCACCTTATGTATGCATTAACAGGTATATTTCACCTTTTTTTTTTAATTTTAAATTGTGATCTTTTTGAAGGCGTTAAATATTTAAATAAATGTAAAAAAAAAAGGTGTTAAATATTTAAATAAATGGGAATTGAGTGGTATGTACGTAAATGCCTCAATTTAGAATTATATTTTTACATGTATTGTAATTTTCTTACGTGTAATTTGTAATTTCAAATTTAAATTCATATTTGAAAAGATAGCATGCATTTTCTTTATTTACGTTTTACATTTTATGAACCAAACCTTAAAAATATAGAGAGATATATTTTAATTTGATTAAGTACTCTTAGATTGAATGTATACAGTAGATTGAGCACAATATAAATTCTTCATATTATATATTTATTCAAGAAAAAAAATCAATAAATTTTAGTCCCTCATGTTAAAATCCAATAAAGACTGGTAATTAGTAGCGAATTCAGTTAAAATCATTAAACAATTCTGCCATGAACAGAATCAAGAAGCATAACCGTTAGTATTTAGGAAGAAACCATCGCTCGAAGAAACAAATCTTCCCCTCCAACAATATTATTTGGCAGTTCAAGAAATCAAGATTTGCATATATTCCAATACTGCGGCATCAGAGAGAGAGAGAGAGAGAGAGAGAGAGAGAGAGAGAGAGAGAGAGAGAGAGAGAGACCATGAAGAAGGCTGAATCTCCTCCAGGATTATGGGTGGTTGTGTCGATCTAACAAATACACAATGAGGGGATGATAGTAATTCGGATCTGCGAAGATGCAGTCCCGGAGAACGCCGGCCCATCTGGAGCAGTTAGCCCTGTCTGCACCGATGTAGACGGCGCCGAACATGCACACATACCATTGTAGAAAGTCTTCCCCGCACGGCCCTCTTCTCATGAAAGAGCGGAAGTTTAAATCGGGGAACAAGATACCCAATTCTCGGTTCCAATCTGCAGCGGAGACAATCAGCGTCGGCGATTCAATGAAGTCCAATTGCTGTTCCTGGTTGGATTGGGGGTTTTGAGTGGATAGGGGGATTTCAGAGGTAGGGATTGAGACTGATGAGGAAGGGAGCGGCAGGGAGATTTCAGAGGATTGGGTGTTTACGATGGGAGGAACTCCGCCGGAGGAGGGCAGTGGTGGAGGGTTTTGAGGGGATCGGGTGTTTCCGGAGGAGGAGGAGGGGTCCATAACTAAGGTTAGGTTTGTGTATTAGGGTGAATGGATGACAAGCAGAGAGGGAAGGAGGAAAGCAGGGAGGATTGTGTTACCTGCGCCGCAGCCAGCTCTATTTATATATGTAGATGTATTTTTTCAGTGGGGACCACTACACTAGAAGAAGAAGTGGAATTTAACAAATAAATAGTTATATTTAATTTTTTAATATCAAATATTAAATAGATCAAATATGAATGTGATTCAATTCGTTTATTTATATTTATGAAAATATTTATATATTGTTCAGCAATTATTATATTAAATAATTTATAGTTTCAAGATATATTCTTTAAATAAATTTAAT